AAAGGATTATATCCTAAATACGTAAGGAACTCATACAATTTAATAGCAAAAGGGCAAATAATCTAATGAAAAATAGAGAAAGATCTGAATAGACATTTTTCCAAAGGAGGTACTCAAATGGCCAACAGGTACATGAAAAGATACTCAACATTATTAATCATCAGGGAAATGAAAATCAAAACCACAATGAGGTATCATCTCACACCTGTCAGAATGTTTATCATGAAAAAGAGAAGAGATAAATGCTGGCGAGGATGTGGAGAAAAGAGAACCCTTATGCACTGTTGGGGCAAATATACATTGGTGCATCCACTATGGAAAACAGTATGGAAGTTACTCATAAAATTAAAAACAGAACTACCATAGGACCCAGCAATTCCACTTCTGAGTATATATCTGGAAGAAACAAAAACACTATGTAGAAGAGATAGCTGCACCCCCTTGTCCATCGCTGCATTATTTACAATAGCCAAGGCATGGAAACAGCCTGAATGTCCATCAACGGATGAATGGAGAAAGAAAATGTAGCGTGTGTGTGTGTGTGTACGTGTACATAACACAATGGAATACTATTCAGCCATAAAAAGAAGGAAATCTTGCCATTTGTGAAAACATGGATGGACCTTTAGGGAATTTTGCTAAGTGAAATAAGTCAGACAGAGAAAGACAAACACTGTATGATCTCGAATATATGTAGGATCTAAAAAAAAAAGCAAACTTATGAAAAAAGAGATCAGATTTGTGGTTGCCAGACTCAGGAAGAGGAGGGTGGGGGAATTAGGTGAAGATGGCCAAAAGGTACAAACTTCCACTTATAAGATAAAGAAGTATTGAGGACGTAATGTGTACAACATGAGGACTATAGTAAACAATTCTGTAGTGTATATTTGAAAGCTGCTAAGATAGAAGATCATAAAAGTTCTCATCACAAGGAAACAAAATTTTTTTGTAACTATATGAGGTTATGGATGTTGACTAAACTTATTGTGGTAATCATTTTATAATATATACATATATCAAATCTTATGCCATACACTTTATAGTTAGACAATGTTATATGTCAATTATATCTCAATAAAACTAGAAAAAAATAAAATTAAAAAAAATTCGACTCCTATCTTACACCACTCACAAAAATTAACTGGTTTGACACATGGACAAAGAGAACAGATTAGCGGTTACCGGGGAAAGGGGGATGGGGGGGTGGGCACAAAAGGTGAAGTGGTGTACGTGTAATATGACTGACAAATAATAATGTACAACTGAAATTTCACAATGTTGTAAACTATCATAACCTCAATAAAAAAATTAACTGGTTTGAAAACTTACATGTACGGCCTGAAACCATAAAACTTTTAGAAAAAATTCCTTGATGTTGGTCTTGGCAATGATTTTTTGGAAATGACAACAAAAGCACAAGCAACAAAAGCAAAAGTAAACGAGTGGGATCATACCAAACTAAAAAGCTTCCTCACAGCAAAGAAACAATCAACAAAATGAAAAGGCAACCTACGGAATGGGAGAAAATATTCACAAACCATCTGTCTGACAAAAAGTTTACATCTAAAATATGTAAGGAACTCTTAAAACTCAAGAACAAAACAACAAATTAAAAAATGGGCAGAGGAACTGAATACATAAAAATGACCAAAGAATACATACTAATGGCCAAGAAGTCCATGAAAACATGCACAACATGGCTAATCATCAGGGAAATGCAAATAAAACAAATGAGACATCACCTCATACCTGTTAGAATGACTGTTATCAAAAAGACAAGAGACAGCAAGTGCTGGTGAGGATGTAGAGAAAAGGGAACCTTTGGGACTGTCAGCAGGAATGTAAATTGGTACAGCCACTACAGAAAACAGTACAGAGGTTCCCCCAAAAATTAAAAATAAAACTACCATATGATCCGGCAATCCCACTTCTGGATATATATCCAAAGGAAATCGAAACAAGAAATTGAAGAGACATCTGAACTCACATGTTCATTGCAGCATTATTCACTATAGCTAAGATATGGAAATAATCTGTTTCTGTCAGTGGATGAATAGACAAAGAATATGTGGTATATATACAATGGAATATTATTCAGCCATGAGTAAGAAGGAAATCCTACCATTTGACTGAAGGTAAGACTGAATACTCACAACTAGTAGGCTGTTCTCTGGTACCCTCATACACTTTTCTCCAAGGTATACACCTACTAAGACACTGCTTCTTTTGTTAGCAAACTTGTCTATAAAGGATGTACCTGTTATTTTGATTAACTTACCAATTAAAGATTACCAAATGAAATCTGGCTATTAAAAAATAGTTGTTTCTATGAAACTGTCCCTGGAAGGAAGGGAAGAAGACTCTGGCCCTCAATAAAAAGGAATCTTTTAGCATGGGGCCAGTGTGACAATGTTGAACTATATGAATGTCCTGGAATATACTCTACCACTCATCATTATAATAGGGCTTAAGTTTCAACTAGAAAAATCAGATCTCAATGTCTCCCTAAACTCTGAGTCTGGTTCCATCTCTAGCCCTGCCTCTAGTCTTAGCAGGGTCAACAGCAAACAGCTACATATAGACACCAAGGGCTCCCTGGATATTCAGCACAAGTCCTTCTCACTTTCCCAAGAGTGTCACTCCCTCTTGACTCCTATGGTGACTGACAATGCCCACCTTGAGGAAGACAACAAAACCTGCACAAAACCTCTGATCACTCAGAATCTTGCTCTGGGCAGATTCAGACTATGATCTTGGAAAGCAGAATTCTGAGTGTCAGTATTCGTCCACACATTCATAAGTGCCCATGTCTGATGACCTATATTGCAGCCTATGAGAGAGGAAGACCCCAAGGAAGTCTAGTTCTTATTCTGATCTCATCCAGCAGAGGGAAGGACCTACCATTGGCTCTTCAGGCTCAATGGGTGGGTAAGAGAGCAGGGATGAGAGGATGCCTGCTCCTCAGTGGCATGGCCTTCCATAAACTCAGAGACAAGCTCTCAGCTTATTTGTCTTAACGACAAAACCCGGAGACTGTGATGGAGACGAACTCTCAGTGTTCGGCACCTGTCAAAGGAGCTACAGTATGTAGTAGCCTCCCTAATAACTGGGAAAAGAATGTCATCAGGAACCAACAGGTCACTATATCCACAGGCAAGGGGAGCTCTATCCTCTGATAATGTTGCTCAGCTGTGCCATTAGGTGACTGCGCAGGAGACAAAGAGAAGGATGGATGCGAGTCGGCACCCCTAACAAGACACTCTAGAAAAAGAGGGAGTTCGGCCACTTGGGAGACCTCCATCTCCTGGAGTCTATGATATGAAGAAACAAACTGCCCTTTATGCCACTCCACTGTGATGGGGCTCCGGAAGCTACAGTCTTCTACATGGCAGGTGTAGACATCATCACACTAGGGAGTCATTTACAGCCTCATCAAGATCCAGAAAGACTGTTACCAATAAGGAGGAAGGACAAAGGCTGACTATTTGAATCTCATGTACATGATGTTTTTGAGAGATGTGCATGGTCAATCAGAATCTTTCCTAAGATTATTCAAACGTTGGTAGACACTCTAGAAACACACAACAGAGACAGACACAAACGCATATATAGAAACAAAGATGAGATAAGATGTGAGGTGATGAGAAAAAGAGATGCAGAAAATAGAGACAGATGCGAAAAGAAACACAGAGAGATAAAGAGATGCAGACAAATAGTAACAAGTGTGCAGGTAGAGAAAAATGAGAGACAGAGGCAGAGATGCAATGAAAGACCAACAAGGACACAAGGAAGACAGAGACAGAGATGCAGATACAGACATAAAAACAGAGAGACACACATAAGAGAAATATACAAGGACAAAGAGAGACACAGGGAAAGAGGGAAAGGTGCACAGATAGAGATATAACAGAAAGAGAAGAGAGACAAAAGACCTCACTGACTATGTGGATCTAATTACTTCTGAAATGTACTTGACCCCAGCCCTCCTTGGAATATGAGCAAAGTAAGCTTGAGTTGGGTTTCTATCATTTGGAACCAAAAATAGTACTTTTATTGCTGGTTATAGTTTTTCAAAAACAAAAAATTGACCTCAATGAATGTGACTTGCCAAGATACATTTGAAACATCAGTTTGGTTCTCTGCAACACCAGGGGCCACTATTTCTGTGCCCAGGTAGTTCTACCATCCTTACAGACACAATACTCACCAAACTGGAAGAAAGGCTGGCACATCCTATAAGTGAAAAAAAGTAAGGCCAACTTGTAAGTGAACATAAGTGAGGCCATCTTATTACACTAAATAATGCTGTCTTAGTTGAAATCTTTCCAGCATGTGATCATTATAAATTGCTACACAATTTTCTGTCCCCCATCCTGTGCGTATACCCCTGCTGAGGTGCTCTGATAGCTTTGTTCTTAACAATTTTAATTAATTTTACCAGTGAATAAGAAGGCCTCCAGAAAGAAAGAACACCTGTAGAATATTCATCATCATTGACAGAAGAAAAGAACAATAAGAGATCCTGGAGTCCATCATGTACATTTCTACACCCCCTCCTTACTGCCCATTTTCCCTATATAACTGACTCAAGATTCTGTAATCCTTGAAGATGGGTTTTTGAGACATTAGTGACCTATCTTCCAATTAGCTGGCTAATCTAATTAAACTTCCTTTGTCAATCTCTAACTCATTGTGATTAACTGGTTCAGACTGCAGCAAGCAGAGTGAGCCCGTTGCTTAGTATCAATTGTAAGGCCACTGCACTGAACGTTAATGCTAAAGAGCCATGAAGGATGTGATACCGAATTGATTTTCCATCTCCGCTGCTCACCCTCACGTGGCATCCCAAGATCCCTCTAGTTTCTCTTCAAGGAACAAAATATGTTCCTTTGATTCTGTAGTGGTTTACTGCCTCCACCCAGTTAAGAAAGCTCAGGGTACAGATAACTCAGAATCATGTTTAATTATGATAAAAGCTCTATAGTCAGGTAAATGGCTTCAATGTGCTTCTCGTGAACAGCCTGTAGGAGAAGAATGGATCAGAAGAAACCCTTGGGAACCAAGTAGACGCTGCTGGAAGCAACCGCACAGGCAGAGCTCTGGGCTCACTGCAGGAAGTAGTGTTGCAGTCAGATCCTCAGGGCAGAGGTCACAGGACGTGACCTGAAGAATGCATCAGAGTCACTGTAGGACTCTGACCTCAGAGGGGGACAGGCTGACACAGGCAGCTGGGAATTCTGAGCAAGGACAGGCAGGCATTACAGAAGAGCAAAAACCAATCCCTGTCAAAGTACCCTCCGGTGTCAGTCCAGCAGCCCTGTAAAAGAGAGAGAGAGAGAGAGTGATCAGCACACGGCATCCTGCAGGACATTCCCTCTTCCCTCCTCTTGGGGCCCTGCAACATCAGACAGAGAAAGCTGAGATCTAAAACATATTGTCCCATAGTATCTGTGTAAAAGTGAAATCAGCTAAAGAGGACACGCTACTTCAGCTCCACAGAGATGTGTGGGAGCAGCTGTTATCCTTTAGGGGAATATAAAGACTTCACTCTTTTTAGCAAATTAGATGATAATTCACTTTTGTTCCACCACTAGCAGCTTCTTTCAGGCACTTATAAATGCACACAATCACCACCCACCACTAAGTGGCACAAAGTGGGCATCATCCTGGTGTCTAACAACCAAGACATGGCTCTGACTCCAAGTTTCACAGAAAGATGCCACCAAAGCTATGGCCTGGTTCTGGAAACAACCTCTGGAGATTCCTACAGAAACTGGGTAAAATTCTCCTCTAAGCTTGATCCCAGTAGCTGAGGACAGGCGATGAATTAAAACCATTTTGCCCAGATACACTCACCTCAAGCCAGTCCCTCTTTTACCTGTCCCCACACCCCCCACTGAATCCGAGCAGAAATAGTACCTGCTGGCGAAGGCCCACGAGGTCCTACAAAGAAAGTGATACAGAGAAAGGTCTCATTACACCAACAGCCTGACCCTCACTCCCTCCACAGGGAAATGAGATATGCAACTTCATTGGAAATTCATTTCCTCCCTACCCATCGACCACAAGGTCTGAACTGCCCTAAGCTAAAATGCCCCAAAATGAATGAAACTGTCCCTAGAAGGAAGGGAAGCCCATGCTCTGACTCTTAAAGGAGGAAGCTTTCAGAAAAGAGGCACTGAGACATGATGAACTGGAAGGAAGTCCTAGAACACACTCCACCAGTCGCCTCTGTGGTAGGGCAATGTTTCAACCAGTAAAATCAGGTTCCAACGTCTCCCCCTAGGTTGTTCCATCTCCTCCCACCACCAGCCCAGCCTCCTTCCTTCAGGGTCAGGAGGAAGAGGCCTCCCCGAATATCTAGAGGCAGAGGACCCCTGAACAGAGGGTCTCAGTCACAGCTCATCTTCCCTGTTCCCCACAGCGCCTTACCCTTCTTGCTCCTGTGATGGATGATAAGGCCCAGCCCGAGGAAGATCAGCCCCAGCACGAAGCCCCCGATGCCACTCAGCATCTTGCTCTGGGCAGATTCAGACTGCACCTCTGGGGAGCAGAGCCGGAGTGTCAGTATTTCTTCCCCCATCCCACAGTATCTCTTTGGGCAGCCTGAAGTCCAGTCTGAGGGACAGGAGGAGGAGGTGCCAGGGGAACCTAGCTCTCCATTATGACCACCCCTAGGAGAGGAAACGACCCACCAATCCTTGGACACAGTGGGTCCAAGGTGAGAGAGGGAAGCAGATCCCTGCTCCTCAGGAACACATCTATAATCTTAGACCCCAGGATCCCAGTCACCAGCCACAATAGTCAATCCTTCAGAGCTATTAGGGCTGAGGTCTAGGGAGACAGTGTGTAGGGTGATCTCTCTATTATCTAGAAAGACAATGAAACTAGAGGTATTCTAGTCTCCTGCAATTTCCAGCTCAGTAATGACACCACGGATAAGGGATGGGAATGGGCCAGAGGAAGCTCTGCCCTCTGCCTTGTGGGGCCCACAGTGAAAGGAAACAAACTGCCCCTTACGCCACTGCACTGTGATGGGGCTCTGGAGGCTGGGGTGCTCCACGTGGCAGGTGTAGACATCTCCTCGCTGGGGAGTCATTTCCAGCATCACGAGGATCTGGAAGGTCCAGTCCCCATTCCTAATAAGGGGGGTGGACACAACACCGGCTGTCTCCTCCTGGTCATTCCGGAACCACTGAACTTTGATCTGGCCCGGATAGAAATCTGTCACGGAGCAGACCAGCAGGTTGTGGTGGTTTAGAGCCTCTGTCCTGGATGGGGAGATGGTCACTGTAGGTTTCACTGAAGGAAATAACCGACAGACAAAGACATAGTGAGATGTGAGACCATACAAGTCTCCCCATGGGGAGAGTCCTTTGCACCAGAGTGGAAAGATCCCTAGAGTCCAAGTCTTGGATTAGGACCTGAGCGTGGCCACTTTACTAGCTGAATAAACACATTAGTCATTTAGTTTTCAGAGTCTCAACAAATGATAGTATGGGAGGTATTCTGTTTACTAGTTGATAAAAATGAACCACTTAAAAGTGATAAATTGCAATTCTATACAGGCCACTATTCACAGAATTTTTAAAAAATGAAAATAATAAACCTGGACTTCTTTCCCCACACCTGTTGATGGTTATCATCAGGATTAGCTCCACTGACTCACTCTAGGGCAGTGACACTGTTTTCTGTTAGTCCCAGTGCTCCTCATAGCAGAGAAAATACAGCAGCTTTGACTCTCTCCTGCTGGCCAGGACACCATCGGCACAAGTCACGGCCCCAAGAATAGTAACATTGACCGAGAAGTAAGAATTTATAGACCTTTCTATGTCCAAAAAAGTCAGAACACAGTGACCATGACACCCTTCCTACAAAGCAGTGCTTCTCAAACAGGGTACATTCCATAATTCTCAGCCTGTAATACTAACAAAATTTGAGAGCAAGAGCACTTCTTACAAGCTGCTGATCAACAAAGCATCTCTCAGCTTTTAACCTGACCTTCGCTCAGATGCTATTCTATGGAGAACTCCCCACAAACATGTGTATTCATAAATACATGAACTTCCATCTCCGCATCATATATGCCACCTGTATTTTATTCATTCGTTGATTCACTTATTGACTCATTCAACAAACACAAATCTGACAAGCACTGGGACTCCAAAGGTAAACAACAGACCATGGTCCCTGCCCTTACAGAACTTGCAATGTAGTAACAGAGGCAAAAAAAATGAACCTTATTTCAAAAGTGCATGATTTTGGAAGGAAAAGAAAGGGAATCTTGGGGCCAGCCCAGTGGTGCAGCGGTTAAGTATGCACGCACCGCTTTGGTGGCCTGGGGTTCACTGGTTCAGATCCCGGGTGTGGACATGGCACCGCCTGGCAAGCCATGCTGTGGTAGGCATCCCATATATAAAGTAGAGGAAGATGGGCATGGATGTTAGCTCAGGGCCAGTCTTCCTCAGCAAAAGAGGAGGATTGGCAGAAGTTAGCTCAGGGCTAATCCTCCTCCTCCTCAAAAAAAAAGAAAGACAGAAAGAAAGAAAGGGAATCTTGAAAACAAACAGCACTGATAAACACCACATTTGCCCATGCCTTGATTCCTTTATCTTCTCAGATTGCTACTCAAGGTCAAATACAACACACCTTTCTCTACCTATTTTATACATCTTCTCCTTTACCTCTCCAGCCATTTTACTGCATCTCCCTTATTCCCTTAGTGAGAAACTAGAGTAAACATTTTATGTGTTTTATTTATTTGCTAATATATTATATCCTCTCAATTTCATTTTTTTCCTAATTTTCTTTTAACATTCAAGTTTAATTACTAGTTGCCTACCCTCCTCCATCCCCTTGCTATTAAGAATTACTTCCTTGTTCTGAAGTCAGACATTATTATCATGAATGTTCTCTATAGAAAATATTCTGAGATTCTTGCAGAGGTTGGCCTGGGTTACTGAGGATGTAATGTAAACATGAAAGTGTAACTGGGACTTGCTGAGGTCAGTGGACAGACTCTGCACCCTGATTAAAGGGCACCCATGAGCCATCATCTGGAAGGTATCATGCTTTCAGTGTGGACTTTAAGTGTTGTTCAGGTTCACCTTCCTGGAATCTGACTGAAATCATGGTCAGCTATATGACCATATGGATTTATAAAATTTGCTAATCTTAAACAGATTGGGAGTAAAAATAGAGGGCGCAAATTAAAGGGAAAAACATGAGAAACGTTTTTATGAAAAAAGAACTGAAACAGCAAAAATATAAGTACTTGGAGGCATTAGGACGTGGGTCAGAAGGCAAGAGAGTGTAAAGTCAGCTAAAAGTGATGTGAACATGCATAGGTAACACTGTGGTCAGACTAGGATTAATCACTGAATTCTCAATTCCCTGAAAGTATCATTTTTGTCATACCAACATTGAAAATAGGCAAGAACAGACTCCTATTGCTGCTTCTGGTCATAACAGGCTTTAATGAGGCTTTGCTTCCATTAGACTCTACATATGGGTAGTAGAGAACATGACTGCTGTGTATTTGGGGAGGCTTCAGGACCTGGTGAATAACTGTGGACTGATCACTTTAAGTGTTTATTATGTACCAATATTAGCATATTAAAGCGGTGATGCTGATCCCTAACACATAAAGTAGTTGTGAAATTAAATGGAGAAATATAGACAGTGTTTCCTAAGGTAATTGTCTAGAAATAAGTGCTCATTAAATGGTTGTGATTAACTTTCAAAACGTCTACCCCTGAAGTGGCTGGCGATATTGAGGGAGGGGGCCGGGGGGTGGGAGGAGGATAGGCAGGGTCCAGACCAAAAGAAACCTGAAACAATTTTTATTCAATAATGTAATAGTATCAAATTATGTATTCCAAAACTTCAGCTCTTTCTATTGCGCTATTTGTTGAGCTTTTCTAAGGAATTAAAATTCTGCCTTACATCATTTGTGTTGTTCCTATTTTTAGCAAATATTTTTTCCTCAGACTTTGTATTTAAATTCTAAATGATTAGATCAAAGTCAATAAAAGTTTATTTTAAAGCACTAGGCAAAATAGTAAAGAATAATCAATAAAGTCAGTTTTTAAGGCTCTACTAACCTGTTTTCTTTTGAGCCTAAGTGGAGGGACAGCTGAGTACATTTATTCATTAATTTCACAAAGTTTATCGAGCTCACACTGTGTCACTCAACGTGTCGGGTCCTAGAGATACAGGGATGATTAAGATAGTTCCCTACCTCAAGGAGTCCAGGACTAATGATAGCCATTTAAGGAAATAATTAAGATGAATAATAATTCGTAAGCAAAACGTCAAAATATATTATGTCACGACTGTACAACCACGAGTGCAAGGTGCCCTGGCTCAGCTGTGAACCAGCCCCATCTCCACCAGGCCAAGACCCTCAAGCTTCGCAGCCCCAGGAGCTCTGCACTACGGACACACGGACACACGGGGAGACCCCACAGCACGGCTGCGGGCGGGGAGGAGGGAGGGCGCTCTGCACAGGGCGCTGCTCAGGCGAGCGTGAGGAACCAGGAAGGGCACACACCGCGAGCAGCAGGCGGGGATGCGCAGAATTACTGGAAACAAGAGCGGAGAGAGCGAGGCTGTACTGGGAGGCCTGGCCCGCCTCTGGGGTAACGTTCCAGCGCAGCTGACCTCGGTCCCCCGTGCTGCCCTCGGCCCCGCCCCTCCGCCGCGGGACGCGCCCGCCTCCCTGTCCCCTCCGTGGGCCCCGGGCTCCGGCCCCAGAGGCCGCCCCGCCCTCCCCGCGCGGAGGTGGACGGGCCAAGGGTGGCCCCGCGGAGGGCGGGCGCCGGGCGCTCACCTCGGCGCTGCCAGGTAAAGGGGGCCTCCACCTGGTAGTTGTGTCTGCACACCGTGTCCACGTAGGCCCGCGTCTGCTCCAGGAAGTCCTTCTGCCCGTTCCAGTCCTCGGCGTCCGGCCGCCCCTGCTCGGTCAGCGCCCGGTACTCCCCCACGTCGCTGTCGAAGCGCACCCACTCCTCCCGGTTGTAGATGTATCTGGTCACGAGCCGCACCCGCTCCGTCCCGTTGGTGAAGTAGCACAGGCCCTTAAGCTGGATCACGAAATCCTCTGCGGGGAATCACTGCCCGTCAGTTAGGCCGCAGCCCCGCAGCCCAACGCAGCAGCCGCTGTGCCGGCCGCGTTCTGGGTCGCAGGCAGTTGAGTCGGATAAACCTAAAGCAAGGCCGCGACCTCTGGTTCCCGCCCAACCCGGCCCTGCGCCTCCTGATCTGAACCTGGCCCCAGCCCAGAGGCCTGCTCTCCCTGCGGACCCCCCACCCCAGGCTGAGGGCTTCCAGAATCGTCTTCCTATGAGGAAAGGAAAGCCCTGTCTCTAAGGGCAAGCCCTGGGACCAGAGAACTGAGTACAGACGGCAGTCGGGTTAATTTTACATCAATCCCTGTACTTGGAGGAATCAGGAGCTTCTCACATGAAATCCCATTTTCCATAGAATTCCTCAGAGACAAACAAGTATCCACATAAGCACAAGAGCTAAAGGGAATGACAAGAACAGTCTAGAATTAAGCTTGTCCTCGTCCTGACAAGCATGTTTTTTTGGTCCCTGGGCAAAGTGCCTCCCTTCTCAAGCCTGGGTTTACATTGAGTTTCTGCCACCCTACCCCACCCCACCACAGGTGTGAGGTTCATCATTCCTGTGTGGTTAGAAGAGAGGACACCTCCCCCGTCCTCAAAAGGGGCATTTTATTCATAGAAAGAGGACAGATGTTCAAATTGGATAAATTGGATTCCCATTAAACTGTGCCAATTACCAGCTTGGGCAGATTACTTGACAAACTATCTATATCCTAAGTATAATTGTATAAAAGGAAATCATAATACCTACACGTGGGACTGGGAGGGGAGGGGCGGTTAGGGAGATTCAGAGAGAATTTATATAAAGATACTAATCTGTGTCTGAAGCGAGTGGTTTCTCAATCTGTATTTTTTTCCTTCTTCACATTCTCCTTTCTCCTAAACCTAGTACACCATCAACTCAAGCCATGAATCTCATTCAAGTCTCTATTTGACCATAAATCAGTGAAACTTGAAGTTAAGACTCCCTGTCTGTGGTCACCTTGTCAGCTTCATTCAAATACCAAGAATTTGCCTCTACCAGCCCTCCACTCAGAGTCAGGAGTGTAGAGTCCTTTTCCTCAAATAAAAGACTACAGAGACCACTGCAGCCCTACATTTCCGCAATCCAGAATCCCATAGTATTTAGTCCAGACCCTGAAGTGACAAATCCTGCTGCATCTTCTTTGGAGAAATTCATATCTTCAAAAACAACCCCATGCTCACTTGGTCCTGGCACTGGTGGTAGATGCTCACTTTGTCTCCTCCCCATTATAACATCCCCAGGCTTCAGCTTGTGGGATGGGGATGGTCCTCAGGTCATCATTAGAAGGTGGAAATGAGAATGTAACATAGCTCTCTTTCCCAAAGAGAGGGAAAGGGTGATTAAATACTGTATTCTGAGATCATAATATCCCCCACACCCCAGCCCAAGCGTCCCTCAGAGCCTGTTCCCCAGAGTGGTGGATCTGGAGAGCAGCTGCCCTGCACTTACTTGGAGAGTCTCTGCCTTCAGCCACCGGGATACTCAGCACCACCAGCGTCACCATCACAGCTGCTGTCCAAAGGCCTCTGGGCATCTGCGGAGCCATCTTCCCAGACATAATTGAGAACAGAAGAAGAAGTAATGGTAGGCAACACAGCTTGCACCTGATGGATCTGAGGTATCCACTTCAGAGAATAAAGACCTGTGAAGCTTCCATGCACAATATGATTGGAGAGTCCCTAGGAAAGGAACCAATCAGCACGGGAGCTGAAGGACCTCATCTGTCTCTGGGCAGACATTTTTTATGAAGGTTCTCAATCCACCCGCCTGTCACTGTTTCTCCAGAGAACTGCACTGGATGAACATTTGAGGTGAAGATTCTCTCTCAGTTGTAGAAGATCTGAAGATTGAATGTCTTAGGGGATTAAAGAACCAGAAAAAAAAAAATGATTCAAGAGTAGACCTCTTTGTGATATTTATTTAAAACCTATTGTACTTGGGATTTTTTTTTGCAGGGGAAAATAAATGGGGATCCAATTTCAGAGGAGAAAATATTATTGTCCCAGAGATGTTCACTCCTATTATCTTGGACACTGTGAGGAGCCTTAAGTTGTGGTGGGAGGAGCAGAGTTAGAAGGAAATGGTTTGGAGCTGCAGTTCTACACTAAGGGGCTTTATGAGGGTCAACAAATGACTGAACCTCTTTTTGCCTCAGGCTTCTCTTTGTAAAATGTGGATCATGCTTCATGCATTTTATACCTACCTCTTCACATGTAGGAACTTAAGTGTAACATGACTTGTTTAATGTTGCAAAATATTCCTCAGAGGCCATGTGTAACTGTTGCGAGTATCAGGTTAATAGGTGGAGGAAGAAAACAAGCAAAAAACATCTACACCCAGCCCTGCTGGTAACAGATTTTTCATTATGCAAGAATCTATTGCATTCGTGCTCTTTGAAGGAAGTATTTGAAAAGTTAAGTTGACTTTTCTCTTATAAGCTCTTCAGCTGCTTAAATCCTCCCTGAACCATGAAACAGGCTCACCTGATGTCAGCAAAGCCGCAATCCACAAACACGCACAGCGTTTGGACACAGTTGCCTTTAGTTTTGAGGGCAGAGAGCAAAAGATGTGGAGAAGCATTTCCTGGGGCTTGAGTAGTGTTATCGCCGGAACGGATGTTGAACAGATGTACTGTGCCAGTCCTCGGCATTAAATCTTGAATAGCAGAAGTATCAATGTGTTCTTTTAAATAAAAGTGTTAATAAATTTATATTAAATTAATAAATTTAATAAATAAATGTGTTTACCAGGCTCCTCTTGCCCATGACTAGGGACAGTACTAAATGGTTATGGAGCGATTAGAACAGTGCCTGGCAAATATCAATAAAGAAGACAATAAGTACCTCCTTCTCTCTTCTCTTCCTCCCTCTCTCTCTTCCCTGTGTTTTATGTTCTCCTTTTAAAATAGAGGACAGGATCTAAAAGCAGAATATAAGGAGTTTGCCAGGTAAAAAGAAATAGGGAAGAGGCAACAAAAACAAGCTTCCATTAGTGGCACATGGAGGCAGTGAGTTTCTCCAATATTCTGTATGAGGTGTCTAGTTCCACAGCACCTGAGACTGGGATATTTGCCCCTGGGCTTCCACCAGCGGTGGTGCATCAGGATCAGGATAACTCCAGAATAAAGAGAGTTTCCACCGTGGGGTGGAAGCATAAAGGAGGAACATCAAACTCAGACCTGGAATAGGGTTGGGGGCCAGGAAGAATGATCACAGAGGGACCTTGAAGGTGCCTCAGTTCCCTCTGCCCCACCTCAGGGTCCCTCAGAATAACAGAGGCCTCTGGCCCATGCCCTCCCTCCTGTCCTAAGGGGGAAACTTCCCTCAGTTCTGTTCTGGGGCTGTGCAGTGGAGGCTGCGTCAGACCTGGGGATTTCCCAGCCTCAAAGGCCTCTTCACACAGACTTTTCAACTAGCAACAAAAGTGTCACCTTAGAATCTTTTTTCTGATTGGCTAAAACCTCATCTGAAAGGCTCTGGCTTGGACTTTTGCCAGCCACTTGCCCCAACCCATTCAGCCTTCACTACATTTTGCAGAGCTCTCTGCATTGCCTGTATTCCAGCTGCATTACTCAGGGCAGACACACTACTGTTCTGACCTGAGAGGAAGGCAACCGGGACAAACATCCTGATTCCAGGCACTTCACCTGAATCACTCTGCGTGGCCTCTGTGGTGGCAGGGGACTTAGGATGAAGGCAGGGTGCCCATGTGGGTAGACAATAGGATAATAAAAACCGTCATTGATATGGGTCAGGGTTACAGAAGGGAGACTATCCCCAGGGGACACCCTCTGTTCCCTCAGGGCGGAGGATAAAAGTTGTGGACTTCGTCCTTGTGGAAAGTCAGGGAGAAATCATCTTCCCTGGTCAGCATGCTTGGTCAGTGGGGTCAGCTGTGAACATAATAATCATCTTGTTGCCAGAAGGATCATCCAGGACACTATTAGGCATTCAGTTCAGGAATCAAGCAACATTCTATATTCTGAGGGGTTCTGTGGCCTCCTTAATGCCAGTAGCAATATAATTAGAAATGCTGCTGCCAGAATATTCTTTCCCTTTAACAAAAATTTATCAAGCAATTATTCCTAAATTTTTCTAAATCTTTGTGAGCTACTTACATATGTCCCCTATATCAATCCTTAGGTAACCAGTTATATGAATTTTCTGTGACACATATAAAGTAGGTCCTTTCTCTTTGCACAAAATTATCTTACTTTAAAAATCACATTTTAGAGAATCTGAAGAGTCTAATTAATAACAGAGTGAATATAGATAAGCCATTTAAGCTCTGAAAGACTTAGTTTTGCCTCATCTGTAGAAAGAATACACACTTCGCAGGACCACTGTCATGAAGGCAGATATAATTTGTAAAAGTCCTCTGCGATCTGTGGGGAGCTACCTATGCATTAGTTTTTAATATAAAAGTAGTGAGTTCATTTGTTTAATGTCATTAACAAAGACAGAAAAGTCTTCTTGTTACTTTTCATCTCTGTTCAGATGATGGAATCATTATGGTTTCAAAACACTACCTCTTACCTTATCATTATGGAGAGAAAGAGTGGGGAGAGCACATTAGTTATATTTGATCATGGATCCACTGGATTTTCCCCCTCTGAAGTGCCATGGCTACCCCTGCACAGAGCTGCCATTTTAACTATAATTTCAGATCTCAGAACCTGATCCTCCTCTCAGTGGGCTCACAAATATGGAAACTTGAGTGCAACACACAGAGTCTTAAATAGAAACTGATGAAAGAAGAGAGTGAGTGTAGCTTTGTGAGCTACGTGGACTTTTATGGCACAGAGCCTAGGATCATATTTCACCCATCTTGACCAGATTCAGAGGAAGATGGACTGGCCACTCCTCATTGTAGCTTCTGACAAATGTCTAAAAGTGCCACACACTGAGTACCCTGCATTCCTCGCCCTCATGATCAGGGGCCTCCCTGTATCTGAGCTCTGACACACTAATGTGGTTTTGTTTACTGTAGTTTGGTCTCTCTTCCCCCAAATCCAACAGATCTCAGGCAGTGGATACTCCCACTTAACAGTATTTTCTACACATCTACAGAGGTAAGGTCTGGTTTTCAAAGATGAAAATACACGGATCCTGCCTTTTAGGAGTTCACACATTGGAGGGGAGACATATATGGGGAAAAAACAAAAAAACAAAAGTTTGCAACAGCCACTACAGGGCATGTCAAATACTGTTGCCTAAAGATGAGACTGAACAGTGTTGAAGGTTCAGGGGACTCCTAGGACTACAAATTCATAGTGATGCCCATTGGTTCAGTTATTTTCTTTTCTCCTGGAATGGGTTGGCAGCATAGGATTGGAAGATTATTATTATTTGTGTATTAACTCATGAATAAGAATTTTTCAAGATGTGGAGGCTGGGGAGTTGACGGTGTAGAGGTCATGACAGTGTTGAAAGACAGGCCTTCCAGGTGCATGTCTCAGAGGAGGTGAGGGCTCAGCACAGGAAAGGCTATGTTCATTCCAGGCAAAATTGCTTACCTGAGTGCAGACGGGGAGGATTAGCAGGACTGGGGCAGGAGTGGGGTGTCACTCAAAGTGTGTGGTTTGGTGTGATTAGAGGGTGTGATTTAGGTGTCCCAGTCTTTATGAGGTTTGATGACAGCATCGTTAAAAGTTGCCTTGATTTTCTTCACAGTATGACCCAAAAAAAAAAAAAAAATAGAGGGCATTTAAGCAGAGGAGTGCCATCACATGCTTTTTCCTTCATAAAGCCACCTTGGAAGCAGTATGGAGGGGACTTTTCAGAGGGTCTGCAGATTACTTTATGTGACCCAAAAGAATTCAGGTTAGTTTGATGAACCCAATCCACCAAAAGCCAGTTTAATGAGGAACCAATTTGCCAAAATTATTAGTGTACCTCAAACTCATTTCTTTTTTTCCTGTTTCTAAAGTTTGTATCAATTCGTATTTGATGGTTTCGAAGTATATTAGAGGCCCCCTTGCCCTCCCTGGCCCCCATTCTCTTGCTCTCGGGGACTCCACTCCATCTCTCTGCCAAAAAACAGCTCCCAGTTTCCATGAAGCTTTATAATAAATGCATTTATAAAGACAAAATGGAAACTAGTCAATTAAACTTCACAGACAATTTCAGAAGTTGTTTAAAATGCTTTTTAATATAATTGGAACAAACATTTTAAATAGTTAAAATATTTTGGTTGATTTGTTAAATTTTACAAATTGATCTTTCAGAGAAATTAGCAAAAGAGGCTTTAAAATGCTAAAATTTATAAAATAAAACATAACTTTTAAAAGGATTTGATACCAATATAAATATAAACTGAAAATTTTTTATCTGAAATGCTGACATTTGTTTAATGTTCACTAGACAAGTAATGAACAAATTCAATAAAACTATTCCTCAAGCAAAGTTTTGGTAAATTACTAAATCTGGTCACTATATCATTCAGCAAACTGATGCATGGGTTTGCTGTGAATTGGCCATTCACTCATGAATTGCTGATTGACCCAAATTAGCTGACTGATCCATAAGATACATCCTTGAGAGTGAGCAGGAATCTCCACCCACAAGTTGTTTTTATCC